TCTCTGAGGTGCTACTAGACTCCAATCTAACTGGTGTACCTCACTGACATTCAAATGCATTGCTCTCTGTTTCCCTTTCCCTAACCAATAGGACATGCAGAGAAACATTTCACACGGTCACTTTTGGTCAGACTTTTCAGATGGTCACTCTCATCAGACACATCTAAGGAAGGAAGCTTTGACTCTTGAAAGCTGATACCCTGAAGAACTTGTTGGTCTCTAATAGGGATGCCAGCCTCCAGGTGGGGCCAGGGGATCTCCAGCTTTTACAACTCATCTCCAGCTGAAAGAGATCAGCTCCCCTGGAGAAAATGGCTGCTTTGAAGGGTAGACTCTATTTGTTGTTCAGCTGCACAGTCGAGTCCGACTCTTCGCGACCCCATGGACCAGATCCCTCCAGGCCCTCCTGTCTTCCACAATCCTTCAAAGTTTGCTCTATATACTATGTTGAGGCCCCTTCCCTCCCCAAGCTCCACCCTGTCCTGACTCCACCCCCAAAGTATCCAGGGCATTTTCCAGCCCAGACCTGGCAACCCGAGTCTCTAAGGTTCTACTGGATTCAGATCTCACTGTTCTACTGCACCAGCACAGCCACCTTCTGAAAGTTTCTTCAATGAAGTCTACCAGTAGACCAGGTGAGCCTTATCTCGTCAGATCACAGAAGCTAAGCAGGGTCAGCTCTAGACAGTACTCAGATGGGAGACCACCAAAAAAACAAGTTTTGGGTTACTATGCAGAGGCAGGAAATGGCAAACTACCTCTGGATGTCTCTCGTGTAGAAAGCCCTACGGGGTCACCATACATCGGCTGTCACTTGGTGGCAAAGAAAAAAAAAAGGTGAGGTATGCAAAAAAGATAGCCACGCAGAATCATGCGTCCATGCTCTGAACACACTCTGATAAAGGAACACGTTGAATGAGAAAGACTGATGACATTCTTCTGGCATTTAGGGAGCCTTTGCCAAATTAGATTAGAGATCAACATGAAGGCTGATTCATGAGCTGAGCGATGACATACTCGGAAGGCAAGTCATTCTTGCCAATATAGACAGATAAATTTAATGCAACCTTCTCTTTGGAAATACGACAACGTTCTTCACCTTGAGCTTCCACGGTACTGTGGAATGGAAATGAAAATAGTGAGTAATGAATAGAGTTGCTAACCTCCAGGTGGGTCCTGGAGATCTCCCAGAATTACAACTGATCTCCAGATGACAGAGATCTGCAGTTGTAATCCAAGGAGATCTTCAGCCAACTCCTGGAGGTTTAGAATAAATAAATGGAAGTACAGCAAAGAGGGGTGCGCATATAACAACACAGCTGAAAACTGTAACACCGTACCCAAAAACACGTGACACTTTATCCAAAACGTTCTTATATTAACAGTGTTGTACTCTAAATAACCATTCAGATCCACTCCAAAGACACCAATGTAAATAGTCCAAGGTTCCCATCTGTTTCCTTTCAAGATTTTGTCGGACCTGGGTGGTCCGTCACCACCCCTATTAACAACTGTGTTTTGTGGACATCTATCAACTGTTACTCCTCTTACTTTTGTGGACATTGTAGTAGAGATGGGACTATATAGATTTATTAGGTTTATTAGAGATCTAACTTTTTATTGGAATATAATGAAGGCCTGGTATATAGAAGGCCTCTTGTCTTTTCTGTCAAGGGGATTTTTCCAGTTGCTTGTTAACAGACAAGACAATAACATTCTTTTAGCACAAAAGTAGATATCAGGTTCATGGTTCTAATTGTTTAGGTTATAACTGCATAGTGTCTGGGTCACAATGGATCTTTTCCTTGTTATCGGAGAAAAACACTTTTGTATTGGTGACAACAAGCCTTGGCCGATATGACTTAGGTTATGTCAAGTAAATATGTGATGCTATTGCATAGGCACACCTTTCTTACATTAGACCAATAAGGGAATTTTTATGTAAATGTTGTTTAAGTTTCTGTAACCAATTATGCCTTTTGAATATTATTCCCATGATGACGATATGATGATGTCATTTTAAGTATTTAACTTCTGGTGGTTTGAATTTGCTTTACCATCCCATGCTCTGACCTTTCTTAGTTATTCTAAACAGTGAACTTGTTCCTGTTCCATCATGGCTTCAATAAAATACTACCTTGCTACAAACATGTATTAATTGCAAGTAGTGGGGATCAGACATGTGGACATTTATCAATGGTTAGGAATTTGTTGAACTGTATTGGACTATTTTCATCGGTGTCTGGAGGCTGGCAGCCCTAGGCCACACCCAGGCTTAAATACCTGCAAGTAGAAAGGGAAACAACAGCTCCGCTCGGCAGAAGTATCCTGCTGGCAGAAATACTCTCGAGCTTCTGATCACTGCTGTTATTCTTACACAGTGTAATGATACATTTTAATCTTTTTTTCCCCTCCTAATCATCCCTCGTTAGCCTTTAATCTTTGGAAGTATGACAAAAATATGTTTTCTGCATCAATTAAGGCATTTTGTTTGAAGGGATATACTTTTGTGATCTATTTTTAGAGTCTTAAGCTACTTTTGTTTCCTGTTAACTTCCCCTTCATTTTCTAACGCATCCCTGATAAATCTTTAATTGCCTAATTGTCTTTAAAAGTATATTAGATTGGGTTTCGGCAGACGTTTTTTGGATTGTTGACATTAACTTATTGCCTCAGAATAGGGGTGGGGGGAGGAAAAATAAAAAACACAGACAGCTGAGGGAACAAAGGAGAGGGCCCATCATTAGCCGTCCTTGTTTCAGTGAAGATTAGGATAGTCATTTTTTTTCCTTATTATTGGGCCTAAGGTTAGTTGTGCAGAAATTACAGTTTTTTTCTCCCTTACTAGCTTCATATATGGAGAAACTGCACCTTCCAAATGTCTGCACTGCAGGCTGCTGTTAACGGCAAAGGAGTGTATCTAGTGAATGAAAAATGCACTAACATAATTCTTTGATTCTGACCCAACCCCCACAACTAAGGTGTAATTCTTTGCGAGGAATACAAGTTCTGGGATGGATACAGGACTGGCAAGTGAGTGGCATAGCTCTACTTAGTGCAGGGCCTCAGCATGTAACCAGGAAGAGTGTTTGGGGCAGTAATCTGGCTAAAAGCATAGCAGAAAGGAAAATATTAATCTTTGGAAGTATGTCAAAAATATGTTTTCTGCATCAATTAAGGCATTTTGTTTGAAGGGATATACTTTTGTGATCTATTTTTAGAGTCTTAAGCTACTTTTGTTTCCTGTTAACTTCCCCTTCATTTTCTAACGCATCCCTGATAAATCTTTAATTGCCTAATTGTCTTTAAAAGTATATTAGATTGGGTTTCGGCAGACGTTTTTTGGATTGTTGACATTAACTTATTGCCTCAGAATAGGGGTGGGGGGAGGAAAAATAAAAAACACAGACAGCTGAGGGAACAAAGGAGAGGGCCCATCATTAGCCGTCCTTGTTTCAGTGAAGATTAGGATAGTCATTTTTTTTCCTTATTATTGGGCCTAAGGTTAGTTGTGCAGAAATTACAGTTTTTTCTCCCTTACTAGCTTCATATATGGAGAAATTGCACCTTCCAAATGTCTGCACTGCAGGCTGCTGTTAACGGCAAAGGAGTGTATCTAGTGAATGAAAAATGCACTAACATAATTCTTTGATTCTGACCCAACCCCCACAACTAAGGTGTAATTCTTTGCGAGGAATACAAGTTCTGGGATGGATACAGGACTGGCAAGTGAGTGGCATAGCTCTACTTAGTGCAGGGCCTCAGCATGTAACCAGGAAGAGTGTTTGGGGCAGTAATCTGGCTAAAAGCATAGCAGAAAGGAAAATATGTTCTACCTATAACCTATGCGTTGTAAATATTGTATCATATATATTTACAATAGAGTTGCCTGTTGGAGTCTAAGGTGGGTGAAGAAATGGGGGGACATAGTTGGCCAATATCAGTCCTCTCTAGAAGAAGAGAGAAGAAGAAGAGGAGAGGAGAGATTGGATTTATACTCCGCCCTTCACTTGGAGTCTCAGAGCGGCTTACGAACTCCTTTCCCTTCCCCTCCCCACAACAGACACCGAGAGAGCTCTGACAGAAACTGCTCTTTTTCAAGGACAGCCCTGAGAGAACTATGGCTTGCCCAAGGTCATCCAGCCAGGTGCAAGTGGAGGAGTGGGGAATCAAAACCCGGTTCTCCCAGATTAGAGTCCACACACTTAACCACTACACCAAACTGAAGTGTGTGTGTATCCTCTTATTATCTAAATGATGGTTTGCTGAATAAGTGAGATCACATTTCATTTATAAATACTAATTTATTTAATAAAAATACAAAAATAGAAATATACATATATAAAAATATCATGAATCCACACACAGACATTTGTTTATTCAATAAATATGGCAGTAATAGTCATTCTTATTTTTTTAACGTATAGGCAAATTATAACATGGGCAATTGTTGACCCAAATACTAGTAAAAGTAAAGCAAGGACTTCCTTTAAAAAAACAAAAAAACCCTTTACTTTTTAATAATAAAGGCACAAAAAGCCTTTTTAGGTACCTTTCCATAAGTGCTGAATATCTTCTTTCCAACATCCTAGGCAAAACGTGTGAAATATAGTGTCCCCCCCCCTTTAAAAAAAAAACCTAACAATTTTTCATTCACATTGACATATTAATTAAGCAAACCCTTACTAAGATAAACACCTATTTGCATTTTTCCAAGTAAGAGGATGTAGGCCACTTTTATCTAGTTACAGAGGCATTAGTCCCATGAACACAGACCAAGGAACACAGTTCTATTCTCAGGACACGATCCAGTGCTTCATGGTCTTCCACATCTATGTGGGAACTGCTTCCATGCAGGACTGCCTCTTCTCTCTACTGTGTCCAAGAGCCCTATGCATACGTATTGAGATTGTACGCACAGAGGCATCTCATTTCAAAGCACGGGGCAGCCCCTCCGACATGGAGATCTCACTGTGCACTGGAACCACTGGAAAGATGTTTCAGTCTCGGTCACTCTCATCTCCACCATACATGTCTGCTAACTTTTTAAACCTCGGTCCCCAGTCACTAAGGTAATCATAATCTTGGTTGCTCTCTGTGGTCAGTGATTCCAAAGAGCTAAGCGAATTGGCTATAGAATCGTTCCCTTCGTACGCGTAAGTGGCTAAGGAATCATAAGGAGGGGCGGTCGGATCCAGATCGTTTTCCTTTAGCCTTCGATGGATAAAATCTTGGACATCAATGTTTTCCCACAACGGTGCAGTCCTCCGGATTTGGAAGATCGTTTCTGGCATGACATCTCTCCTGATTTTGCTTTCTTCTCTGGCTTCGGGATTGCGTAGCGTTCCGATATCGAAGGCTTGGGTATCCTCCTCCCCGCCCCCCTCATCGTTGTAGGTCACGATATTGTCCCGGACATCGTCTTTCGAAACAATCAAAGGCTCTTTCTTCCTCTGCCGCTTCATGGCCGCAAACAGCACGACTAAAACTGGAAGCACATAAAAGGGCTGATGAGTGGGTTTTGCCAAGCACATGGCCAACCAAAAAACAAGTTCTAAAAGTAAGATATAATTTCGACCAGGGTTCATACCTAAGTTCTGTTGGAGTGAGCGATTCAGCATGCCTGGGCATTGGGGGTGGGGCAGTACATCACTCTATAAGTGTGTATAGGTGTTATCTCCTTGAATGGGATGCCTCTCTCTGTCTTAACCTGGGAGCTGGCCTCTGACCCCTCCTGTCTCTCTCCCATTGTCCTCTCACTCTCTTTACATGGCCTTCCATGGAGACATATGTCTCTCCAGGTCTCTCCTGTACAGACGATGCCCTCATATTCCCATGCACATGATGCCAGACAAGCTGGCCATTTACGACAGGGAAAGTACTCTAGATTAGACCTCCCTTTCTCTTCTTTTAACTGCAGCCTGAACGTGAACTGGCTCTACTTGAATAAATGTAAGTTTGCCTTTATTCTGCAATATAATTTATGGGAGATTTATTGACTGCACTAAGTATCATGCTTCTATGACTGGGGAAAATGCTGCTGTATTCACCAAATATCCCAGTAAGTTAATAGGAGGATTCAGACCAATGTAAGTTTGCCTTTATTCTGCAATATAATTTATGGGAGATTTATTGACTGCACTAAGTATCATGCTTCTATGACTGGGGAAAATGCTGCTGTATTCACCAAATATCCCAGTAAGTTAATAGGAGGATTCAGACCATGTTTCACACTCCGAAGCCCCATGCATTACTGTAAAAAAATAAAAAATAAAAAATGGGAGTGGAAGTCTGCAAGTGCCTCCATCTTCTCAGAAAACAAGATGTAGACTCAAATGCATTGAGCGAAGCTTTGCTAGTTAAACGTAACTCAGTTGCCCCTCTCTTTTTATTGTGGGTTTCCTAACAGCTACCCATCAAGTCTGCTCATATTTTGGGCAGCCCCACTTGGGTCAAACTGCAGAGGGATAATGCAGCAGCTCCTCTCTTTTCCTCTTCCACACACCCATAAGAACATAAGAGACGCCAATGTTGGATCAGGTCAAAGGCCCATCCAGTCCAACACTCT